TACATGCATAGATATGTAAAAGAATACTAGCGCAACATTTGATTAAGACGTTTGTCTATGTATTTGGAGGCGGGGAGCGTTTATTTTACACTTTTATAGTTGCGAGTAATACGACGTTGTACAGTCACAAAACACATAAGTGAAATTAACGAAGAAACAACGTTATCCTCTTTAACGCTACCCATGTTGCCTAAGCGGTCGACGAAATTACGATTACATCTATTCTTTCTCTTCTTTTCGCGAATCGAGAGCACGCTCCTTACACCCTCTGAGTTTGCGCCACAGTGGCTGACGAGCAAGAATTTTATGCGAACGCTTGACAGGATAGAATTTTACTGCTTTCGAAATGTCGTGTCTCGTAAAAGCCGCTGCGTTCACGACCGTTCCTTCGACTCTTTCCGCTGGAACTTATTGCGGTTCCGCGTTTACTATTTTTATAGGCGACAGAGGAATTGTTGCAGAGACTTCGGTTATATTTATGGAAATAGTGTGGTAGCGAGGATAGTTGGGATTATTTCCCGCGGCCAGTCGATAATCGATAATCGAGCGTTTTCCCCAAATTTATCAATAGATCAGAGACCTATTTGCCGTTCGACGTATGTTTTAGTTCTTGTTCCCGCGTAAAAATAAATATTTGTTTTAATTTTAAATATTTTAAATTACACCTATTTTTTAGATTGTTTTTTATTAATTATTTTAAATTGATAAATAGCTTATATAAATCACATATTTGGCTTATATTTATGGTTAGGTTGCGTTTGTGTCACACACGCTCCTCATCGACGAAACGAACCCTCAGTCGTATCATGACGGTGACGCGACGCTTGGTTTCGATTACGCGCGGTGACACAACGGTATCATTGCTACAAAGCTTGTTCAACCCCTGCATGTTGTGTTTGATGCAATGTCGTGTCCAACGTTATACCGAGCCGCGATCCATATGTGAGGGAGGCACGTTTGACTGTGCAATACGAGCTCCTAGTCCGTGACGAGCTCGAAATACGCAGATTCTCTCGACTAACGTGTCAACGTGTTAAAAGTGATCGTTACTGCTCTACCTGCTGCCGAATACCTTTGTCATTGACACGCAAGGGTTTTATTACATTTTATTACGATTAGTATTAGAATAATTGATCGTAATGATGAAAATACTTTTGAGTTGCTTATATAAGAAAGAAACTTATATTGAATGGTAGCAACTGTTTTTTTTTTCCTTTCAAGTTACTTCATTGCGCGTTATTTTCCTTTGAGTCATGTAACTTTGGAGGTGGTTTATGTTGAAATTGTTCAAGCGCGAGAATAGTAGGATTTACGACGGCCCGGAGGTCTTACGATCCTTTTATATGAGTCGGACGCACACGATTTACATTTGATAGCAACAAGAAGCAATAATGACTTAGGGGATTAAAGTTTGCTGGCGGCACGATTCACCACGTAGAATCGAACTTTCAGATTTTTCGGGTTAACGTTCATGCTGATCCCGCGGTCTCGGAAACAGTTTTACGAGCGGCGCGTTTCATAGTTAGTTTTTTACGATGTACACTCCGACCCCAAGAAATTTTTCGTGGCACGGGTTGAGGAACACGACGTTTTATGAGGATCTAACAAAGTCGGCGGCGCTCTGCCTTCGTTAAGGACGAAACTGACGCGGCACCAATTTAACGAGCGCTCTCGTGTGATCAAAGAGTCCACTGCTATAAAACTCGCATAATCGTCTTTGTTGGCCGGACAGATCGAAGCTGGCTAATTACTACTTTTTTTATGATCTAACGCTAATTGCGACGATAAGACGGTATAACAGGTGACACGATACTTATCGCGCGCATCGGGTCAAAGAATTAAAAGGGTACGAAAGGAGCAGCTCCAGCAGAATTATATTAATGAAACACCATAACAGACATTTTATTTTGTTTCTTTATTTATTTAATATGAATGTATATTTATCTTTTATATCTTCAAAATCAAAATTGAATTTAATAAAGTTGTTTCTTTAGTACATCGCGGTTTGAACAATACACTTTTAAGAGACTTGCGCACATATCTATTTTTAAAGTATCTAGTTGAAATACATGTTATACACTTTATTATAGGTATATAGCAAAGTAAAAAATGAGTCACAACTATAATAATAGCTTTGGTGGTACTTAACATAATGTTATAACATAATTTTGTGAAACATTTTATTATTTTATCACATTTTTATTATATTTTTTGCGTATAAGATTTGTGTACGACAATTAATTAATAGATATTAATAGATGTTTTAGTCTAATTACATCTTTCGGTAATTTAATTTTGTAATTAAATTCCCAGTTTTCTTGGTGCAATCACAAGAATATGATCCAAGATTGTTTGGATAGGTTTTATTTTTTGTAGAAGACAGTGAAAAATAAATATTGATAGACATATGTACGTTCCTTATTTATTTATGATAATAACATGAAAATGTCTTTCTAGCGCCGATAATGCTCTGATAAGGCTATATATTTGTAACTTACGTTACTTTTATTGCATTTTAATGATATTTTTATCGCACGTTTCAAGGTAACATTTTTCCATCATATAAAATTGCACGTTTTGACGGCTTTAAAAAAAAAATAATTATTTGTTCATCTTATTGATTTTCCAAGGATATCAGCGAAATGGTTACATCTAGAATGATTACACCCTAGAATGATTACCTAGGTTTGGATGTAGAAAATGTGTTTGTTCACATGTATTTATATATTAACTGATAGAGATTAATTTCATACATGTGATAACTTTCCATTTAATTAAGCAGTAATTATTAGATACTAATCCATTATATCATCTCCAAATGTTAATGTGTCGTCTTTACGCTACATATGTTGGAGATCTTGTAGTTAAGTTCAAAGTCTCTTCTCGTTTTTAAACTACCGTGAGGATATTAAACGTATATCTCACTGTTTCACTGTGTATATATTTTTTGTAAGATTAAGAATTTGTGTCGCCGCGTTCGCACGTTGAAATAAGTTGTTCATTCGCATTTATTCGCGCTCGTTTACAGTTGTGGATTTATCTGTAAATATAATATATAACTTCGGAATATAGTAGGGTCAAAAAAATTTAATAGTAAAAAAGATTATGAAAATAGCGAAGAAGCTAAGACCAGTCAAAGATACTTTAAATATCGATTACAATATAAAATTATTCCTGTTAACTAATGTTACACGAATGGATCGTGTTTCTTCGTTACGAGACGGGTCAATTAATATAATCAAAGAGTACGGACAGTCATTCATAACGTCATAGCGCAACATACTCATATCTTCACTAGAGAGACACATCTAAATATTATCGGGATTATTTCATCGGTCCCGAATTTTAGCTATATATACATTTCTCCGTTTCTCTTCTGCGAAAGGATTCGGTCGGATAAGAAATAAATATAAACGTATCATGATGAGATATGCACAACAGGCGTTCATCCTGTCACATCTGTTTTATCGCGCTGTTCACGGAACCGAATGATATCATTTGTAACTCCTCTCATATTACGTAATCGATCCTGTCGCCGATAACACGAGCGTAGATTACTGAGAATCGCATAGTAACGAGAGTGGATTTAATGCGATAATGCGTTCTCCTTCGGCTGATATATGAGAACAATCCTTATCACAAAGTATGTAACAGGAGGGAGAAGTCATACGTATAGAAACTTATAAAATGTAATGTTTATATAACTTAATTACAAATGTTCCATTTTTGTAAACGGGAAAGTCTCAATGTCAGTGAGTTTTTTTAAGCATAAGCTTACTATAATGCTAATGGCTTGAATTTAATTTTTGAATAATTAAAAAAGCCCAAGTCTCTTAAAAGCCCAATTTCGCAGCGTGTTTCCGAAACAATACCTAAAATTTTTTTAAATAAGTATATTGCATATTATCAAGTTTGTCAAGGGAGTTTGATTGTTGATTTGTTAGTGATTTAAGTTACGGACAGAATGAAATATTAAAAGGCTAAATCATCATCTACGCGACTGCTTTAGAGCTTAGGGTTAATAGCGGATAATAATAGACTGTAGACTGTTATATTCGCTGTATTGCGATATCTTTCTTTTCGCGTATTATAGTGCATCTCATGCAAAATGGCGTCGCCTGGTGAAAGTTCGTAGCGAACAATATATGGTTGGAGAACAGAAACGGGAATTAAGAGAGAGAGATTTTGGGTAGCAGCTTTTTTTTCTTTTTCTGTTTCTTGCTGCGGTGTACATCACTTGGCGCGAAATACTACCGTATTTCTTGATATATAGGAATATGTGTGTGCTCTTTCCAGTAGTGGCAGTAGTATTATAGTTCAATGAGTTAAAACGCGCGCGCGAACTCGAAAGTCACGCTGCTAAATCCCTTCTCCATATTCTCGTTCTTTTCCCCGGAACTCTTCCCCATCTCGGCTCCTCCCATCGCTCTCTATTCTTCCTCTCTCGCTCTCGTCATGTGCACACGCGCGCACAGCAGCACGTGGTTGGCCGGGTACACCTGGGCGCGTAAAAGGAGGGAACCAACGCCATGCGTCCCGGTGACGCGGCACCTGCATCGCGCCGTTGTCTATTCCGCTGGGTCGTACGGGTCGGCTTCGCAGCGATAGAGGGAGGAAAAGGGAACTATCGACATTAGCTGGGAGTGGGGCAGTGATGGTGTTCAAGAATGGACGGGGGTGAGGGCACGAAAGGCAAGGGGCCATTTCCTTATTTTTAAAACGATCCGGGGAGTCCCTAGTGGGCGGAGCCACAAGGACTAGATGCGCTACTATTGGTTGCCGCAGTGTCTAATATATCATAACGTAACTATCGGAGAATTTGTCCGCAACTCTGTTTGATTTTAGACTCCATTTATCTTTAATCCACTATTAACCCTCTCCACAAATTCCCTCAGTTCAGATATCCATGGATACATTTATTCTCATATACCTACATATATGTATACATATGCATGAACACAGCAACTTTCTTTCACGTTTGAATCTTTGTTGAATTTCAGATGGCTTTCACGTTTTAACAAACTATACTCTGCAGGAGATACAGAAGTCTGGTTTCACGGTCTTGAGAGATCCTTCAAAGATGTGGTATATCTTAGCCAGCCTCAACAAATGTGCCTATGACTTGGACGCGGGAATTAAAAATAATGCCGCTTTGGAATTTGCTGCTAACATCTCTCAAGGTGAGACATTTTTTTAAATATTTCCGTCAAGGTAAAGAAAAAGAAAATATTTTTGGAAAAGAGCAGTATCGAACGCATGTATTAAAATTTTCTTTCTAAAATTTTTGAATCGTCGACTTAGAAGTATTACATACGATCTAAATATTTAAGGCTCCTGCTGGCTCGATTGTCACGTCCGCGTTGACACCATCACACTTAGCAAAATTGTGAATAAGACGTGAAAAATAACGTGAAAAATTATTCTTGCAACTTACAGCGTTATTTTCCGTTTTAGAATAGTGTTTTTATATTTAAAATATTGCAGTGTGTTAAAATACTGAATATTTTTATTTTGTTATAATTAATATGTAAAAGCAAATATTTATTTCAATTCGACAGCTGTCAAACAACTTGCTTTCTTCCTAGATTAGATACAATTCAATTCGACACATGTAGGTTATTTATTGATTACTCAAACAAAAGGGGAGTTTTTGGTATATTTTACAAGTCTATTCTATCGATTACACTATTTTATTGAAAAATATTTTTATTTTAATGTATGTTGCAAGAATTTTCATGATATATTTTCTTACTCTGACGTCAATCCAAGATGACTGCAATGAGTGAACAGGAGCCTTAAAAAATATGTTTATTACACAAAAATAAATAATAAACTTTTTAGCAAATAATGATATTAAATGTAAAATATTTAAATTTAAATAAAGAATTTTTCTTATTTATTACTATATAGAAATAAATATAAAACTACATAATAAATTCAATATTATCGAAATATTAACTTGAATTTTTCTGTCTTATAGCTATAATTCGTCAGTTGAAAATTAGTCGCCGGAATATCGTGCAAAATATAACTTTTTCATTCATAATTATATATTTAATATATTTTCCATTTTTATTTAAATATAATTTACTTCCACCTTGAAAATTACATATAATCAAAAATTTAAATTTTTGAAACTTAGCATTGCTCTTCTAATTATTTGAAGTTTATAATTAGATTTGATTACTTCTTGATAATACTGACCTCCATATGAATGGAGTAATAAAGAAAATTGATTAAATTTAAGCCAGAAGCTCAGCAATATATTTCTAATGCAAATTTATGCACTCAAGAATTGGTACAAACTTAATTGGGAACCAGCGCAGCAACAAGAAGATATATTTAATGTTTGCCGATGTCAGAATAATAAATCGAAATTGGCATATAAATATTAAAAGCATAAGTATTGAAATTTTGAAAATCTTATATATATTATATTTAAAAGATTACGGAACGATTTTTTTAAATGAAGAAATTGTATTGTGTTTTATAATTTCCATCTTCTATGGCTATACTGAACGGAAAACGGAAAAACGGAAAAAAATTTGCAGAAGAAACATTGCGATAAATAAAATCCGACATTTTCTAAAATACTTGTGATTAAACGTTAACTATGAATTATAGGTACATGTTTATTTTCTTCTCTCAAGAACCTTGCCAATTTCGATACGATTAAAATTCTATTTCCGCGTACACCTGACATCCGTAAGAAAATACGTTCCCGTGGAAATTATTTATAATTATATTCCGATGAAAACTGATGCCTTGTTAATTATTATAAAGTGCTTGATTGCAAAACTATTTAATGTCTTCGTCGTGAAGATAATCTTGAGAAAGCTATAGAAGAAAAATACCAGAAAAGTCAACGAAAAGTCTTTTCTCGCCTCAGAAGAAACAATTTTGATCTCGTCACAGAAGATGTTGCCTCGTTATGTCATGAAGATTATGCAAAAACGTGAGAACCTGTTTGGTGTTGCGGCGGTGCGTTTAAACGCGCAAGTTTTACGTACTTACACGCCAAACATTTTTAATTCCATTGTATTCTCGCAGACCGAGATGCTTCACGAGAATGCTTCTTGTCAGCCGTTGTACATGCAATGGCAAAGCAGGCCGATAATGCGTGGCTATTGATGTTTTTCTACACCTGAAGATCTGCTCTTGCACCATCAATCAATAACGTTGCTTGAAAATAATTGACGATTGTGTATAACTTGACAATCGGAATGAGAAATAATGTTATTGCAAAACAGGTGAGAATTAGTGAGAGAATCTAGGTGCAGATGAATAATAAATAAACGGATTAATTCAACTTATTTAACTTTCATTATCTGCTTCGTTGATAAAGCATTTTATTAAAAAATTACGTCTGCGAATTAAAAATATTTAGTTTCTGAACCTGAATGGGGTGTTGCCAATAATATATACATTTTACGTCTATATTATTAGAACCGGACTCCTTGACGTACAAAAGTAACATATTATTATCATTGTTACATAAAAGTAACATATTACCACACTTATAACACTCCGCAGTAAATATACGAACCGTGCCAAGCAGGAATCGTTACCGGATATTTTTGCAATTATAATGTAGCCGTCGTTACATACTTGTCTCAACTCTCCAACGCGAGTGCTTAATTTTACTATTGGATAACAGCCAGCGTAAACGAAAATGATCTTTGCTAGCTATATCTGATTTTAGTACCTACATCCAAAGTCGATATTCTATTTCGCTGACTTCCGTGTTTTGTAAAGAATATGCTACGCGTAAAAATAATATAAATAATATAAATAATATAAATGAGCATCTAAACGGAGTTTGTTAAACGATGTTCGTTAAACCACTTGAATATTCTGATAAGAATTTTTATAAGAGACTCAAGCTCGCGGGGAAAAAAATGATTAATCGGTTATTAAAGATATGCGTAGCAGATCCGGTTGTCTTATCCCGAAGAAAGTCAGGAGCGGCCTAAGGCGTCAAAGAAAAATACACGTTTCTTGCTAATTATGACTGTGGATAATCGATACTCGGATAAAACCTTCTCTCCTTCATCGTAAATCGCTTTGGTTCCGGATCATTGACTATTCGCCCAGAACCGTTGCGAGATACTTTTATTTAACGGTCGACGAACGATTTGCGGCAACGCTGAAATAACGCCACTATTGCACCGTGTCGCATTCAACAGCAAAGTTGTTGACGATTAGTATCATTGCCACAGATCTTGCAATTAAACATGTGATGCGCGTATCTAATAAGCTTCATGACACAGCCTCGTATAAATAATTACTTCGTACGACGTATTTTCGCGTGAAGCTGAAGCCGTTAGGTTTAATCTATGTGTTTATGCTATAGTTATATCTTTTTAGTCGTGTAAGTTTACCCCCGTGTTGAAAATATAATTTTAAAAATTAAACTTTGAAATGTTTTTTTATTGCATTTTTATGTTTCGAACTTACCGCACTATTTCTCAATCACATATTTTCTTACGAATTCGGATTCGTCCTTTGCATAAAAAATATTTGAAATCATTTCTTGTAGCTGCAATACTTTTTTAATTTTTAATTTTGTATTTTAATCTCGCACAATTAAAACTTTTATACCACTAGTGTATTTCAAACAGTCATGTGAACAATTTATGTATTTGAGGTAAATTCACGGAGGTGACACAGTTGCTAAAGGAAAAACAGGTATGTAATGTGTTAAGCCAATTGACTACTGTTTGACTCTACTTGACCATTATAAATCGCTTATAGTTTATTTATGGAAAGGGTTTAGTGCCTTAAGACATAATCTAATTATATACACTGAAAAAAATTTATTATTTGCAAGAAAATAAATTTCTTTGAATTTAGTTTCCTTAATTCAAAGAAGTATTGGTGAATTTATGCTTGTGATTTTATCATAAAATCGTCATTATAAGAATTACAATATAGGATGCTTACTCAGTGCTTATATTCTTATTATTATTGTGTATTTTTTTACATGTTACAAGTAATAGTTATATATATATCTTGACTGATAATTAGTAATAATACTGATATATATATATCAGTATTATTACTAATTATTGTTGTTATCAAATTCACAATTTATGATCAAACCCAGACTCGTTATCTTTCACAGACTTGCTAATTAGTCGTCGCGCATTTCGTTAAATTATATCGTTAATCCCGATTATTATTGTTTTGGAATAAACATCGCAAAAGAATGAATGCAATCTCAGTCTTGTTTGCCCGGTTGGATAATTATATTTAAGTCTATGCGGAAAGCGACATTCCAACGACGCGACGATGGTATGAGCAAGTGGACGATTAACGGCTTCACGTCTCACTAAGCACATGGTTACGCACTGTTACCAACGGGGCATATAAAACACGTGAATTTATACGGGTATCAAATACTGTGTGTGACAAGATTAATATGTACTAGATATTATAATAACATGTTAATATTAGCATGTAGTACAAAGAATGCATATCTATCTATCTATAATAAGTGCTTGAGTGAGAGTCGTCAGTTGGTCAAAGTATATATAAAAAGAACTAGGTCAAGAGGTCAAATATACATTTTAATTTCGCTTAATGTATAATTTCGGAACGTTCCAAACGTGGTTTATTTATACGAATCTTGCGGGAATATATTTGATAAATGAGGATATCCTAATTAATATAATCGTATTACCCTCTGAAAAAAAAAACACGTGCATCTTTCGTTGACTAATTTGACGTATAACCAACATGCACGCGTGTCTGACAAGTCTAAACGCATCGGAATGACACTTGTAGTTAAATAGCGGATGTCCACACCTCCGCGCACGTGTCAGAGATTAATGACGCTCCTCGTGAAGAAGTAAGAATGGCTTTGCCATAAGAATAGTACCTGCGCAGAGGTAGCAGCACCAGTCTGGTATAATGTAAATAATAAGTCAGATACTAATGCGCGTATGATACACCTTAATTACTTCCCACGTGTCGATGCCATAGTTCACATAAGTGTGAAATAAGCACATTACAACGATATTATCTAATTGTGGGCATTTAAAATAATTTTTCGAGGTTTTGTTAAATTTACTGATGTTTCACAATAATAATCTCTTGCACAGTTCCTGAAGTATTGCAATTGATACGCGGATTATGTTTTCGGGATCTTTATAAATTGCTGCAATTAATAAAAATTCTTTGATTTACGTTAGATTCGCCAATTAAATAAAATTAAAAACAAAATATTTGATCGCTTATTTATGAGAAATAATTTGGATTACAAAAAATTAAAAAAAGCATAACGTTTTGCAATGTGTAAATCGGTTTAAAGTCGGACACGGCATTTCTCCGATGCTCTCAAGTCCAGGTCGCGAGATGATTAACAGCTTGTTATCGCGACCGACATAGCGTAGAAAAAATTATGCTTATTCGTAATTTAATGCGTACAATAATTGCACGCCAACACGACTATATCGGGAAAGATATAATTAAAATGCATCCAATCGCTCCTAAGTCGCTGAAGAAAAAGCAAATCGAATAGACTTATCGATGAGTCGTTTGCTGCATGAATTCTAATGAGGGAAATCGGATCCAGAATGTCGCGTTTGATGCGCGATTAATACAATTCCATAAGTGTTAACTGTATGAAGATAATAAACAATAAAAATCTGTAAAGATAATTACCGGTTACTGCGGTCGCGCACGGCTACGCCGCGTAAAAGGGTGATAACGATTGCGATAGCACTGATAGGAATTAAAGCACATTGCACACACGTATCCGTTGCACGCGTGTTCGTGCATATGAGCGAGTAACAGTCGTCTCATGCTGCGACGCGAAAATATATTTTCATACACCCCCAGACACTTTTGGCACGCGCTAGATGGATACTTAACGCTTACGATCGGTCCACTTGACGTGATATAACCGAGGCGCGTGCAATACGTACCAACGTGATGCGAAAATATCTCGTGATGTTGCTGTTTGCCGCGTCGGCCGCATCATTAATCATTGCTAATCTTTGCGTTACATCTATCGGCCGTGGCGTATTTTCCATGTATAAATATATACAATGGTTTCAATATCACAATTCTCAGAAAAATCGAAACATTAGTTGTGATATTTTTCAAAAAAATTTTTGATGGTTCTTCTCGATAAGTAAACTAAACGTCATAAAAAAAAAACGCGTTTCTCGATATTTGTGCTTTAATATTGTTTTTTGTACAGAATCAATAAAATTTATCACGTCAAAAGAACACAATTTTGGCGTTTTATTGAGAATACTATATTGGATAATATCATTACGGATAGCTAGTATATCGCGGGACTTATTGCGTATTATGCGTTGAATCTTGCCCACTTATGACGTGTTAGAATCACTGGAGAGACGATTGACCTTGCGTAAGTGTAGTCTAGTGATCGCATGCACTGTATAGCATATCGCTAAGTATACGCATGTGTATCTCATATATCAACGCATGTAGATACGTAATTGTCCGGAATGGAATAGAAAAGCTTCTATGTTTTTAACCTAAATAAATGTTTGAATGAATGGTTATTGAAATTATGTATCAAATATTGAATAATTTTGCAAATTTCGAATGTACTCTTATATATTTTTATAGTACCGTTATGTGCCATTCATACATATAATTTCGCAATGCAACTCATTATTATCTAATTCATAAGCATTATATTAATTAAACAATTTCAACAATCAAGTTACAAAGATCAACATCAACAAACAAGGATTCATAATTGCAATAATATGATGTAAAATTGCGTTGCAATAATATGATGTATGCGTTGATAACAAATGCATTTGATCACGCTAATAATAATAATAATAATAATAATAATATTAAATTGACGAGTTGAATATCGTTTAAAAATAAAGTATTGTTGATTGGACTAAGAAACATGCCTAGCGAACGAGATTGCGGTGAACGTTCCACCAGAAGTATGTATGTACATACTTACATTATCTTGCTCGGTAGGATGAAAAATTAGAAAGGCACTTTTCGTAGATAGCAAGCAGGTGTGGTACGACCTTATTCAGATCTAGTATTTGCCTGGAGAATATGTGTGCATTTAAAATTATCAATTTTTACTACCAGTTTGATACTAACTGCCGTTAAACGCCTTATAACGAACCGAATACTCTTTGAATGTGAAATTTACGTCGGCCTTCGAAAAAGCACGTGTAGCATTAAAGCGGACTATGGAATTGCAAAAGAATAAAATGTATCGCTAAACGTGATAATCTACACT